CTGACATTGTTATTTATTTTATATATATATATACTTATAATTATTAAATATAATAACTCCTTAAATTAAAGTATTTCTCTAAAATAAAATAACTAACTTATTATTTTTCTTAATCATGTGATTTGTCTCTATATTTCTTATAATTAAAATTCTGGCGGTAATATTTTAAGAGAAAATAATGGGGTTTCATCAGTGATGGTGATTATTCTTGGATAAAATTTAGCTACAGTTTTATAAATGCAGTTCTATAAATAGGATTGCTGTTATTCTTCTATGAAAATCTAATGGAGATCTAATTAATTTAATTAATATATATTAATTCTTAGAGAACGTTATTTGTTTTTCCGTCTTGTATTGATATATGTACACTTCATTGTTTTAGCAGATGGTGCAGTTCCCACAGCAGACGAGGCCACTTTTTTAATTAACTCTCTTGTTCGTGACTAAGCAGAGCAATTCTTAAATTAATATGGTGCACTAAATGGAAGATTCTTTTGCACCGTGCCATATATTTATTCTGTTTCTTTATTTTTTCTGAGTTTTCTTTGTTCGTTTACGGTAACATATAACACTTGTAAAAGTATGGAATATCCAGATGGTCTTGCGCAATGGTGCTTAAAATTGCATTGCCTTGCGCCTCTCGTAACGTTAGCGTATCTGCATATGTACTCTTTTGGTTGATGCAATGATATTAGTTTTTGAATTAAAAATAAATTATTATTTTAGTGTGTATAATATATAAACTAAATATTTATTATACATAATTAAAATTTATATAAAAAATATATTTTAATATGTAACACTCATTTTTAAGGTATCTATTATAAGTGGTGTAGTTTAGTAGGATGTTATTTTTAGTTAAGTTGGTTTAGCTTTAGAAGGGATTTATATGGATTTTCTTGAGAAAAGGGGTTCATAACTTTAGTTTTTCAAAAATCCTTAGGGAGAGACTAGAGAAAGTTTCTCTGTAATCTTCCCTCCCTTTCCTTCCTAAAATCCATTTCTCCCTCACTTCTTGTAGCTAATCCAACTTAGTTAGTGTGGGTGATTCGAAACCCTGGAGCTAAGAGTTCCCAAGTTAAAATTGTATAGAGCTCGTTATCTTCTTCGTTCCTCTTGTTGATTTCTAGATCGTCAATGAGGTAAGGGAAGTTTGTGGCTTGAATGATTGCATGTTGTTTGTTGATGTTGTGGATGTGATTTCTAATGGGTAAGTTTAATTAGTTGTTGAATGTTGTGTAAAGATGTATGAGAGGATGGGTCTTGGATTTTTTTTTTTTGGATTCTTGGTGTTGTTAGTTTCTTGGAGATTTTTGAGGTAATTGGGGTTTTGGGAGGAGAATCTTGATGTTGTATCCAAATTCTTCTTATTTAAATGAGTTTTATGGTTTAAAATTGAGATTGAAACTTGGGATGGAATGAAGAAGTTTGAAAACTCCAAAATCACGAAAAACAAAGATAGTCTCTATCATGAAATGGCTGAGCGGAATTGAAAATGAGAAATAAGGTGTCTTTGGAAGGAAATGACCGAGTCGTTTAGAAACGGTTGAGCAGATTTGCATATTAGAATTAGGTGTGTGTTTGGCAGGAATTCTCTGAGAGGTTTGGTGCTTTTCAAATTAGACTTTGTTATCTTCTTAAAAGTTGTAGTCCTAGATGTTATCTTTGCAATGACTTTGGAATCACCTAAAAAGGAGGTCTAGAATTCTAGTTATGACCTTTTTAGTGAGTAAAAGTCAAGTTGTCAACATTCAGGCAAATTGTTGCAATTTTTACGATTTTTAACTTGATAGATGATTAAATTAGAACTTGAAGTCTTCTAAAGAGATGTAGATAATATTTTTATCTTTCATATGAGATAAAGATGAGTTTGACTGAGTTAGTGAAACTCCAATTATGTTGTGTTATGTGGAAGTTTCCATAGATTTCATGTTGAAAATGATATGTGCTTATTTCTTTATAGCATATGGTAATATATAATGTCCTAAGTTATTATATGATGAATTTTTTATATGGATGATGATGTATGAGGATGTCCAAAGTTGTTTATATTGTGATTGAAGTTGTTATGCTGAGATTACTATACATGTTGTAAGTTATATGATAAAAAATGATTGTTAAATGATTGTTTTATAGTTGATGAATGATGAACTAATTGTGTAAATACGATGATAGGTTTGTTGATTGTGTGGTAAGTTGAATGTATTGTAAAGTTGAAAGTTGTTCTAGTCACTTAAGTTGATTTATGATATTGTTTACTTAAGATGTGAATGTTGTAAAAATGTATGTTGTTTACATTGTTCAGTTGACAATTGCTAAAGTTGAAAGTTGTAAAGTTACGATGTACACAATGTTGTGTTTATTATTTTTGTTAAGTTGAGAGTTGATATATATGTTGAAAGATGATTAAGTTGTAAAAAAGTAAGTTGATATGTTGTTATGTGTTGTATTGTTAAGACTAAGATGAATGATGTTTATGATGTTTAAATTGTAATGATGTATGATGATAAGTCGTTAAGCTATTCAATTGTTAAACATGTGGTTGTGATATATGTCTATGTTCAGATACATAGAAATTAGAGGATAGTTAAAAATGTTTTCAAACTTTAATATCTTATTGTGTGGATATACGTTGTGTTGAACCCTTCAATAAGTAAGTTGACTTCTGAATAGGTATGTTATTTTTAGTTGTTTTCTCTAAGTTTTATGTGGTATTCGTATGTGAGCAAGGTAGAGACATACATGTATAAAGTGACAACAATATAAGGGCAAGGTCGAGTTATACTGATTATAAGTGATCAATCAAGTAAAGTACGAAATTGGAGATTAAAATCCCTAACCTAGTATCAGAAGGTTATGGTATTAGAGGGTAGTCGGTGGGCTAATTTCATAGGTGACTTAGTTAAGCTAGCTAATGTCATGGTAGGCTCATACCTAAACTGTTCTACCCTAACATAGTACTATACTTCCTTGTTTAAGTGACAAAGCCTAAGAAATCAAACTAAGTTGTGCATACTTGGCTCTCTTATGAAACCTAACGTTGTATTATACCTGGTGATATGTGATTGGCGCCACATGCATGCATTTATGAGTCGAGTCCTTGACATCATTGCATGATAAATGAGTGTGCATGTGATATTAATTGTGTATGTGTATTGTTTATATGTGATTTGTGCTTGTAACTTGTATTATGTTTATCTGGGCGCGACCATGAGTGCACCGGGCGCGGAGGTGATGTTTAGCTATATGCTATTAGATGTTGTGAAATGCTGATAAATGTTGTTTTATGCTGAGCTGAGATGTAAATGTTAAATATTGTTGTGCTGATTAGACGATAATGCTGAATTATAATATTGTTATGTTGAGCTGTGTTGTAAGCTGTTATTGTTGTATGCTGATTTGCTGAGCGGTTGTAGGCCGTAAGGCTGAGCTGTTGTAGGCTGTAAGACTGAGCTGTTATAGGCCGTAAGGTTGAGCTGTTATAGGAGATCTCCGAGCTGATATGTGTGACGACGCATTGTGTGTTTATTGTTGTTTATGTTGTATAATTGAGGAGTTGTATGCTGATGATGTGTTGATAGCGGTAGCTGTTTACCATTCATGTATTTATATATGTGTATGTTGATTCTTTTCACTAGCTTACCCTTTGTTGTGTCCATGTGTTTTAGACTGCGATGATCATACGTTGTATGGGAGCAGAGCAGGGTTAGGTTGGTGATGAGGCAGGTCTGCAGCTGGCAGATGTAGTGGATGTATTTTGATGTTTTGTTGTATTTAGCTACTTGGTGTAGTAATTTGGACTGATATTTTGTATGTTCTATTTGTTTAAGCTCCAGATTTGACCTTGTGTATATATTTTAGCTGCTATATATATATATATACTTGCTCTTTTCTGTGTGGTGTCGTGGTGTTGTGTTGTGTGTGGTGACCAGCTGAGTCGTTACAAAGAGGAGGAGAGCTCCCAAAGTATGGAGGCAAAACCATATGACAACAAGGAAGCTTGAAGCCCAAACAAGTTGGTTTTAGGAGCCTAGAACAGGCTGTTCCAAAACCAGAACGAGCCATCCCCAAGTTAGAACGGACCGTTCCCAAATTGGAACAGGTCGTTCCAAGTTGCTATAAAGACCTAAAACCCTAATTGAGAACGGGTCATTCCCAAGTCGGAACGGGCTGTTCCGACGAATTTTTATTGGCTAGCGACTGATTTTTCGGTCGCTAAATTGCGACGGAAAAAATTTCGGTCGCTATTTCAAATAGCGACCAGGGTTTTAGCGACGGATTTTTTCGGTCGCTATTTCGGTCGCTGAATGAAATAGCGACTGAATTTACCTAAATAGCGACCGATTTTGGTGGTCGCTAAAACTTGATTTTTTTGTAGTGGTAAATAAAGTTTGTAATCTTTCTTTTGTAATTTTGAGCGTCCTTGATAAAAAACCAAAATGTACATCTTTGTCATATTATTTTTATTACATGATTTGAAAGTTATAAATCAATTCCTAACTAGGAGGCACTGCCACCTTTGCTGGAATTAATTTATATTTTTCTTTATATGATTCCTTGAGTTTTGATACTTATATGTTGACTTTTTATAATTGATGAATTACGAATGTGAATCTTCTACCTTTTAATATTGAGACAATTATTTTATCCATGAAAAAGGTTGTCAACTATGAAAGACTTGATTTACTCAAAAAGGAAAAAAAATTTATTGTTTACATTTATTGTGTTTTAATGTTGGGGTAGAGGGTGTCACAAAAATTACTCCTACACTAAATTAGGAGGACCAAAAGTGCAATTAAGCAAAAAAAAAAAACATAAGATTGATTTTGTAAATATATTATTCTTTATCTATTTATTATTTTTTCTAGGTTTGTATAAAATAACTAAATAATAAATATAACATTTATTATATATGAGGCAAAGAAGTAATATTTAATAAAAGAAATATATAATTTTGCGTGTACGCAAAAATGGTTGACCACGTCAATGTAGTGAAGATGTTTGTTGACAATGCATACTTTTGCTGTAGAGTCCTCACATTCCAAAATATGATTTGTTTTCGTGTTCTTTATTTTAATTTGGTTGTAAGAAATTTACAAATTCCAGGAGACATGATTTGTTTTCTTGTTCTTTATTTTCCAAAATATGAAAGTATATTCAACTTATTGGAATTACATAATGCATGAGGATGTGACCTTCGTCAACTATGTAAGATTATTTCAGTTGGTTGGTGAAATTAATAATATTCTTCTAACATTTTAGCCCTTTGTTCCTGTAGCGTTTGACAGAGTCTGAATGTGTTTTACTAGACTTTGTTTCCTTATCCTTCAAAAGTTAATATCATAAAAAATAATAATAATAATTACTGTTCCATTTAATGATGTCCATTGTATTCTTTCTTCAGAAGATTTATTTTATCATCATTGAGTCTATTTGGTTTAATAAAAAGATATAACTATTTTTTATCTAGCAAATCTTACGAAAGTAAAATGATATGTTTGATTGTGACTCAATATTCAAGTCAAAAATTTAATACTATAAATTTATATATATAAATATTGTCTTCACTACTTATAATTTTAGAATTTAACATTCACCATAATTATGATTGTCAATTTCATATACATAAAAACATATTTAGTAGTTCATGATGTATGTTACAAATTATAATATATTACAAATCAAAATATAATGAAATATTATTTTGTCACAATTATATATTAATA